GCTCTTGCTCAGGCTGGTTTCGAACTCCTGAGCTCAAACAATCCTCCCACCTTGGCCTCCCAGAGAGCTAGGATTACAGGCGTGAGCCACCGCGCCCAGCCTCATACTGCCATTTTCAATTCAAATAAAGGTTACTCAGTTTGCACTCCAAGATTTGTACTCTAACCTCTATTATATCTATATCTCATTTCTTCTACTCTGAGAATCCTGGTTCTCCAAAAAAAAAAAAGCCAAGAAGTAATAACTAGAATATCTTATAATTATTCAGTTGCTTTATCAACAATATACATACATCAGTCCCAGAATAACAATACTCAATACTCTTAATCCAATACAGTTACTAAAAACAGTTAATTTTTTTTTTGGCCTATGTTCCTACTATTCTCTCCCCATTTTAAGAGAACCATTACACATTGACAGATCACATAGCCATTATATACTGTACTCTCTTCCTTTTAAACTGCATATTGCCTTTGTTCTTTAAGTAATTATATAGCTATGCTCAATACTTATCCTTACATCATTTTCTCTACAGACATTTTGGTTTTATGAAGCTCATTCTCTGATAGATACTTCAGTAGAACTCATGGGAACAATACTCACAGAATTGTGACCTGATATTAGCAATGTGTTATGCCTTTATATTTGAAAGGCACTTTTGTGTGATATAAAAGGCTAATATTTTCTTCCCTTGAGTATCTTAAATATAATACTCTATTATCTTCGAGCATAAAGATTTGCTGTTGAAAGATCTAGTGATAATATGATTTTCTTTTCCTTATAAATCACTTGCTTGTTTTTGTCTATATGTCCAAGGAACTTTTTTATTTTCCTTTAAATTCTAAACTTTAATACAATACTACAATATGTCTTAATGTTGGCCATCTGGGCTGATATTCTTAGGTAAATGGTGTGCTCTTTCAATGTATTTTCAAATCTTGATCATTTTCAAGAATTTTTTTTTTTTTTTTGAGATAGGGTCTCACTCTGTTACCCAGGCTCAAGTGCAGCAGCCCAATCAGAGCTCACTGTAACTTCAAACTCCTGGGCTCAAGAGATCCTTCTGCCTCAGCCTCCCAAGTAGCTACAACTTACAGGCACATGCCACTATGCCCAGCCAATTTTTTTTTTTGTAGAGACAGGGTCTTGCTATGTTGCTCAGGCTGGTCTTCAATTCCCAGTCTCTACTGATCCTCCTGCCTCAGCTTCCCAAAGTGCTGGGATTAGGAAGTTTCTTGAATTATTGTGTTTAGTTATTTCTTTCACTTCTTTGGTTTCCTTCTGTAGTAGCTCCTATTATAATTATGTTGTATCTTCTTTATCTTCAATATTTATTACTTTCTCTTGAAATCTATTTACCTTCTATTTTTTTTTTTTTTTTGAGACAGAGTCTCACTCTGTTGCCCAGGCAAGAGTGCCGTGGCATCAGCCTAGCTCACAGCAACCTCAAACTCCTGGGCTCAAGCGATCCTCCTGCCTCAGCCTCCTGAGTAGCTGGCACTACAAGCATGCACCGCCATGCCCGGCTAATTTTTTCTATATATTTTTAGTTGTCCAGCTAATTTCTTTGTATTTTTAGTAGAGACGGGGTCTAACTCTGTTGCCCAGGCAAGAGTGCCGTGGCATCAACCTAGCTCATAGCAACCTCAAACTTCTGGGCTCAAGCGATCCTCCTGCCTCAGCCTCCTGGGTAGCTGGCACTACAAGCATGCACCACTATGCCCAGCTAATTTTTTCTATATATTTTTAGTTGTCCAGCTAATTTCTTTGTATTTTTAGTAGAGACGGGGTCTCACTCTTGCTCAGGTTGGTCTTGAACTCCTGACTTTGAGCGATCCTCTTGCCTTGGCCTCCCAGAGTGCTGGGATTATAGGCGTGAGCCACCGCGCTTGGCCTAAATGAGGTCACTGACATGGCCCCTAATCCAATATGAGTTATGTCCTTAGAAGAAAAGGAAATCTGGATACAGATAAGTACAGAGGGAAGATAATGTGAAGCCACAAGGAGAAAATGGCTATCTATAAAGCAAGAAAAGAGACCTGGAACATATCCTTCCCTCATGGTCCTCAGAAGAAACTAAGTCTGCCAGCACCTTGATAGTAGACTCCTAGCTTCCAGGCTGTGAGAAAATAAATTTCTATTGTTTAGGCCATCCAGTCTGTTACTTTATTATGGCAGCTCTAGCAAACTAACACACCTCCTTAAACTGATTCTGACCTTCACGGAGAAACCCAATCATGGATCTTTGCAATTCTCCCAGGCGAATGAATGTTGCAGAACAATCCCTCCTTTAGATCTGGGCAAGAGCAGTCCCTATCCTGGTCTAGTGCTTAAAAAGGCTCAATTTGATTCTCTCCAGCTATGTCCCACTCAAAAGGCATCTGTGGAGCCAAGAAGACAAGTTCACTCAGAACCTGTGCCCTCTTTCTTACGTATGTATGTATTTATAGAGACAGGGTCTCGCTCTGTCACCCAGGCTGGACTGCAGTGACCCAGTCAGATCTCAATGGGGCCTCAAAATCCTGGGCTCAGCTATCCTCCTGCCTCAGCCTACTGAGTAGCTGGGACTACAGGCACACACCACCATGCCTGGCTACTTTTACTTATTTTTTGTAAAGACAGGGTCTCACTATGTTGTCCAGGCTAGTCTCTTACTCTTGGTCTTAAATGATCCGCTGGCCTCAGCCTCCCAAAGTGCTGGGATTACAGGCATGAGCCCCTGCACTGGCTTGCCTTCCCTTTTAGACAATCCTTTGAGTGCTTGACCCTAACATTCTTTGTTCACACAGCCCTAAGAAATCTAACAGTGACTTTTCCCCAGATCCTTCCTACTGAGGGCCAACAGCCCTTCCAGTATCTATATCCCTAGGCCAAAAATATAGCTAAAAGGCCTCTAAGCCCAAGAGGTGATCAAAGGGTAAGGGTAGGTTTGCCAAATAAAATACAGGATACCTTGTTAAATTTGAATTTCAGATAAACAATAAATAATGTTTTAGTATAAGTTCCAAATCCTGCATCAGATAAACTAAAAAAAAATTTATTGTTCATTTAAAATTCAAATTTAACTGTGCATCCTTTTTCTTTTTAGCAAATATGGCAACCCTAGTTGGGGGTCAGAGTTGGACATTTGAGTTGGCTGTCCATATATGCATGAGCACAAGGCCCCTAATGGTAACAAATTGAGCAGGAGGAGGTGACACAAAGAAGGCAGTATACGTGGCCCAACTAATTCTCTTTGATTCACCCACATTCTGACACAACAGGAATGCTAAATCTGACCTGGCTTCCCTAGTCATTTTCAGAATAGGAAGAACATATTTTACTTTTACGTTTTCTTAGGTTATTTTATTTTATTTTTTAGGCTAGTCAAGTGAAGCAGCGGGAGTGGAGGAGGAACAAAGGAATCTGTAACTGGTTGTGATCAATTAGTTGTAAACACCACTGCACTCAGACCAGCCTGTCAGGGGCATTTATAATTAACTATTTAGACATATGGTATGAGGGGCTCCATTTTCACTCTTGAGCCAACCATACAAATGTCAAAGGGCAGTACTGATGCAGAAAATCACCCTAAGAAGTCGACATTATTGTTAGGCGGCGTGTGGTGGCTCACCCCTGTAATCCTAGCACGATGGGAGGTGGAGGCGGGAAAATCCTTTGAAGCCAGCAGTTATACAATAACACATATTATACAATTATACAATGATAGATATTATACAATTATACAATGCTACATATTATACAATTCAATTGTATACACAACATACAATTCACAACAACGATTTATAAAACAATGCTGCTTTAAGTTTACAGTGGCTAATGTATCTCTGGCAGAATAATTTGTAGCAATTCCTCTGTAAGGGAAATGCCAACCAGAAGATCAAATTACAACTCAGAAAATTTCCTGTTTAGCCTTAAATCGGAACAAAGGGAGTAAATATTCTTAAGGTAATATTTCTGTCAAGGTAGGTGAATTATCATATTCTACAGTGAGAACAATCTGGCCAACAGCGGGGTTGGCAGTTCAAACGCTTTGAAGTTCTACGACCCCGGGGATTTTTACTCCTTACTAATTAACTACGTAACATTTGCAGACCTCAGTTTCCTTATTTTGTAAACACAGGCTTCCTGTAAGGATGGAGATTACACACTGAAAACATTTAGCACAATATCATTATTATGCTATCTATACTATATATTTCATATTATCGATTGTAATATAAAAGATATACTAATTACATTCTATATTATTGTGTTGTTGACTGTCATCGTGCAGTTCTGTTTCACGACAGTCTAGCTAACCTGGAGAAACAGGACAAAGGTGCAGAACAATCTCACCCTCACAACCAAGCGGAGTCGAGTACGAATTACCATGGCAACCGCTCGCGCCCAGACATCTTCCGCTCGCGCGTCGCTTGGGAAGAAAAAAAAAAAAAAAAAAAGCCCAAAATGTTAAAATGATAAATTTTATGCATATTTTACATTT